TTTTACTTTCATTTTGATGCATTATATATATTTATTTGGACTTGGCATGATATACCTTTGTACTTATATTGAGACACTATTGTGAGAAGGCCTTATTTGATATTAAGGGTTTATTAATGTGCATTTAGCACTCTCTTTCAGTATTGCATAAATTGTTTAGGTCCTGATTTTAGTGCACACGCGGAACAGTTGTTGTAATTTATATAATTCTTCCCTCTGCATTTGATTATTAGGAGGAAATATTTATGTTAATCTATTTTGAGGAGTATTTTGCACAATAGAGAGGGTCAAACCACTGTTGTGCTAGGTGGCTAGTGCTTCACTTATTTTAACTTTCATCTCTGTGGTATGTGGGAACACATATTGTTGTACAGCCAGCAAGGCATAGTTATCATTACTTTTTATATTCACTGCACACCACGTTGTATTCACATTATTTAACAGCACATAGTAGTGGGGTGGGATAAAACACATAAAATCCAGGAACAGCATGTACTTTCTAGGCTAAGAGGCTAAGAAATGTCACAATCATGTAAATCCTGGTACTTTTGCAGTTTTTGGCTGTGTTTATAAATGTATGACACTGAAAAGCCTTTTGATGCAGCCTCTCACTTTATAACCTGCTACAAATGTACAATGTTACAGTCTATGTAATCACTGGGGAGAGGAGATTGAGCAAATGTTGCTTCTTGCCTGCAGCATAATGATGACATCATTTCAGCCTAGGCAAAGTAACCTGGTTGGACCTTAAAGTAGTATTAAACCCTCATCGTGTTCTTGTTTAACATATTGAGAGCAATAAAATAAACATTCGGCAGTAAATTATTTGCCTAAATTCTTACCCTAGACTTTGCAGGTTACAACAATCATTGCTGATGGACCCTGCTCTTTCCTCGCTACTTCTCTGAACTTCCTTTTGCAGAAAACAAGTAACACTGGACAGCGATTAAAAACCAACTCTGGGAGAAACACTTTTACTTTCCTAAACGTCCACTCCCCCATGCAGGTGAGCTTGCCCATGCTCCAGCGTTGGACTCTCCCTCTTTTTCAACAGGTCCACTGCTGGACTATTGACCCTTCTTTAGTGTTGATGGCGTGGGGACCCTAGACTGCTTGGGGGAGAAGATGCCTCAGGGACCAGACTAGCTGCAGGGAGGATTAGTTAAGTAAATCTTCCTTTAGTGTTCCCCTAGACCTAAATGAGCAATTAACATTTGTAGTGTGGGCGTTAAAGATGTTTTAAAGTTATTGAGAAGTCCACTTTAGATTGGAACCTCAGTAAAAATTAAAGTTCTTATTGTTTTTTTCTCCCAGTCTCTGTTTGAGATTTAACCTTTTTGGGGGATCAGGTATGACGATGATGTCACTTTTAAGTCCTCAGAAATCTTCACAGGGCACAAACCAAGCAAAATTAAAAAAAGAAAATTATTAAACAGTTACTATGTTTTCATAGTTTTCCTCCTTGTCATGAGTATGCGTATGCTCATACCGTACATGTACATTCATGAATACAATATGATTGAACATTTCAATCCACAGCTACTATGATTTTTTTTTTTAATTGTAGAAAATGTCAAATGACGTTTTCATGCAATGAGGAAATATGAAGGTGTCCTGTATGTTGGATACAGAACTCAGTCCAAAAATCACCTAACTTGTTTGTCTGATTGGCTCACCGCTTTTCAGAAAAATGCACAGAGCTTTTAATGACATTAAAGCATCTCTTGTGACAGTTGCTGAGATAAAACTCTGCATTATAGTACACTAAAATCCTTGCAATGTGTATAGGCTTTCTTCAAAAAAACTAGATTTTCACTTAAGGAAAGGATCACTAAGGCAGAACTCCAGTTACCCTTCACACTGAAAGTACCAAGAAAACCCCTATACATACTTTTTTCCTGAAGTATTTACACCAGTCCAATGATGTCATTGGTTCTTCCCCTTTGTCCTTTGGCAGCAACAAAGGGCAGTCCTTCCTCCTAGACTAAGCTATGCCCACATAACAACATGGGTAGCACTCATTCCAGGGGTTCTATGAGCCCAGCCTGCATGATTTTATACCCCCATGAGGTGTATCTGTAACCAGGGGCGGGCTGACAACTCATGGGCCCCACGGGCATAAGGGGATCATGGGGCCCCTGTGTCCTTGCCCAAACTCAAAAAGCCTATGAAAAAGGTACCAGGGGCATCTCATGGGGCCCCCCTACTGACCCCGGGCCCTCGGGCAGTGCCTGAGTTTCCAAATGGTCAGTCCGCCCCTGTCTGTAACAGCCATGACATACAGGAAGGTGGTTGGATTCAACAGAGAAGATAGGTGTCACTACACAATGGAGCAGTCCGCAGGTGACAGCGCCAGTGATGAGGTATGTATTACAGCAAATACTGCTTTGTTTTTTTGTTTTTTGCACGGCAACAGTTAAAAAAAAAGCTGGATGTCTTCTTTAACCTTTAAAGATGATTACGTGTGTTAAAAGTAACAATGAAGAAATGTGTTAAAAGAATGTGGAAAAGGTAGAATGTAGAAGCCCTAAATTATTAACCTACTGTCACAGAGCAACATTCCTTCAACCTGGTCAGTGTATTAATTCTATCTGTGACTTTCATTTTGAAGAGCAATTATCCCACAAAGGTAACGATGACAACTTTTGAATGCAAAGTTCAACGCCTACAAAGTTTTATTTTTCGCATTTTTTTTTCTCGAACGCAAATGACATCTGTCTCTAGTGTGTTGAAGATGGCATTTAACTGGCACATAATAGTGCTCTTCCAATGTTAAACAGTATCAAAAGAGTAGATTAAATTAGACCTAATTTTAAATTCACAGCTCAGGAGAAATTCTCCAAAATGTCAAAGGAAAAGTTAATATCGGAGTCACCTTGGTGATATCCATACAACAAAGGGAGAAGTTACCTTAAAATTCCATCAACTTTCAACACAAAGAGCTTATTTTATTAAGCTAGTATTTTATACTAAAACTTACTGTATAAGGGGAGTGAAAAGACTATAGAATCAATATACAAAGGATAATAAGTTCAGACAAAGTGTATTCACATTTCAAAGTTATATCAGGTCCAGCTTTAATTTCTTTTAGATGCTTTCTGTCTACTTTGCAGTCAAGGAACATTGTGTAACATCTGCACAGATAGAAGTTTCTTCTTGACCTTCAAAGGGTTATTGTCCAGGCATTATCCCCAAACCTCCTACTTTCCCTCTAAAGCATGTTTCAGCATCAATTCTTTTGTCTTGTTCCTGTATTGAGAAGCAGCTTTTATTATTCTCTTTGACATCACTAGGCTTGCCATAGGAACCTCCACTGGAACTACATCTCCAAAGAACCCTGACGCTACACACAGTCTGATTGATTTACTAAAGGAGTCAACTATCTTCACACAGTAAGTTGTGTGAATATTTGCTTTAAGGCCATAGATGATGCGATTTTCTTTCCTGCTACCATGGGTGGCAGGAAAGAAAATCACTCAATTCCCCATCAACACAGTTAGTTCTTCCGGTGGGGAAAAGAGGGGTGTAGTCTGGGGAGCCGTCCCTGCCATTTATTGTGGCAATAATCACATGCTAGAAATTCAACATGCTAATTATATCCAAATCAACCAATAATTCAAATTGGGTACAATCAGCCTGCCCATGCATGGATTGAATCTCATCCTCTCCCTGCTGAATCAGCCGAGATTCTAACCAACAATTGCCAGATCAAGATTCCAATCATGTGCACATTAAATAAGTATATAGGAAGTTGCTTTTCACGTGATTGTTTATCTGAAGTAAATATTCACACAATGTATTGAGAGAAGAGTTTATACTCCTTTAGTAAATCAGCCTCTGTGTGAGCAGGCTCTTCGAAGTCAAAGTAGCATCTCCATTTTGACGGAGAAGAAATTAATGTAGCGTAAGTAAACCTGTAAAAAAAAATGTATATAATGCAGATTACCAGTCCTTAACCACTTGCCTACAGGGTACTTATACCCAGAGGCATAGCTGGGGGGGGCAGGGGGTATATATGTACCCGGGCGCCAAGGTACAGGGGCGCCAAAATGAGGCTTACAACATTACATTATAATAAGTGAACAAGGGCAAAAAAATTGGTCACAAGATCACTGCTGCGTCTGCAGCAGACGTGTCATCTGATACGTCTGCTATCCACAGTGATGATGCTGCCTGCCTGCAGCCAGCCGAGATATGGATTCTGCGTACAGTCAGTTCCGTCTGCACGTCTTCAATGAGACAGGATCGTCTCAGCGATCTTGCTCTTCTTAGCGTTGAAAGAGAAACATTGAAAAAAACTGATTTTGATTACATGATTGACCAGTTTGCGACAGTGAAATCAAGAAAAATACATCTTTATAGACTATGTAAACCAGTCTACGAAAGTGACTGAGTGAGTCATGTAATATAATTTCTATAAATTTGCTTCTTTAAATTCAATGTTTCATTAAAATTTAATTTGTTTTTCCTTATCCAATGTAATAGAAAAATGTGATTAAACGGGGAGGGGGGCTGGGGTGCCAATTTTATAGTTTGTCCCCGGGCACAAAATATTCTAGCTACGCCAAAAACAGCTGAAATTTTTTTTTAAAAAAGTTTTTTCTTAGTTTTTGTTATATAATTTTGTAAATAAGTGATTTTTCGCCTTCACTGATGTGCGCTAATGAGACTGCAGTGATGGGCACAGATAGGCTGCACTAATGGGCACTGATAGGTGGCACTGATGGGCATTGACAGGCATCACTGATGGGCACTGAAAGGCAGCACTCATATGTGGCACTGATAGGTGGCACTGACTGTCACTGATAGGCGGCACTGACTGGCACTATTAGGTGGCACTGACGTGCACTGATAGGTGGCACTGATGCGCACTGATAGGCGGCACTGATGCGCACTCATAGGCGGCAATGATTGGCAGCACTGATAGGTGGCACTGACTGGCACTGATAGGCAGCACTGATTGGCACTGATAGGTGGGACCGATAGGTGGCAATGACTGGCATTGATAGGTGGCACTGACTGGCACTGATAGGTGGCACTGACTGGCATTGATAGGTGACACTGACTGGCACTGATAGGCAGCTCAGATGGGCACTGATATGTGGCATTGGTGTGCACTGGTAGGCACTGATATGTGGCATTGATGTGGCACTGATGGGCACTGGCAAGTGGCAATGATGAGCATTGACAGCTGGCATTGATGGACACTGACAAGTGGCACTGCTGGGGCTACACTGATCATCAGGGCACACTGATCATCAGTGCCTTGATGATAAGTGTAGATGTCCCCTCTGAGGAATGTCGATTACCGTCTCTCCTCACGAGCTGTCAGTGTGACAGCTCGTGAGGAGGAGAGAAATGCCGATAATGGCATTTCCGTATGTACGTGTTCAGCTGTGATTGGACACAGCTGATCATATGACCGAGCTGAGACGTTTTCAGCTCTTTCCATTGATCGGTGATCCACTGTGTCTGTGGGACACAGAGCACCCCTGATCCTGTGCTGCGCGTCCCCGGAGCCGCACACGCGCAGTTAGAGTGGGGAGGACGTCATATGACGTCCTCCCAGAACGAGAGAACAACCTTGCGCCTGTCATTTCCTTATATGGCGGGCGGGGGTGGCGGTTAAATGCGGTAGCTTAATTTGTTTTCCCCTTTATTTTCACAAAGGGATTTTGGTAATAGCACATTTCCTCTCCAAGGTTGACAATGTTCATCCACCCTACTGTATCTTAACAATAGAACATTTTCAGTTGTATATTTCTATATTTCACATGCCAAAAGGCTCCAAATAAAAAGTGAAATATTACATTTTACATTCCCTTTAAATTACTACATCTACAGTTGTGACCAAAATTATTCAACCCCCAATGCTGTAAAGGGGTTTAGGGACTATAGTGTACATTTGGAATTGTATTCAGAATCAAATCCTACAAGGACGTTGTAACTACCCAAATGCAACTAAAATGACATCAATTGTTTATGTAATACAGTAGTAAATGGTTCTTATGTGGTTTCTTCATTGCCACAAATTATTCAACCCCTTAAAGACTACCACTCTGAAGAACAGAGGTTCATACAGGTGCTTTCCATCAGGTATTGAAAACACCTGTGGATGTCACCGAGCAGCAATCAAGCATAATAAGCACCAATTAGGCAGCTTTAAAATGACTGTGATACTCAGCTCCTTCTAGACATTTACTGGTGTGGTTACAAACATGGTGAAGGCAAGAGAATGGTCCAGGAAGACAAGAGAAGAGGTGATTTCTCTTCACAGGAAGGGCAATGGCTATAAGAAGATTGCAAAGATGTTAAACATACCAAGAGACACCTTAGGAAGCATCATTCGCAAATTCAAGGCAAAGGGCACTGTTGAAACGCTACCTGGTCGTGGCAGAAAGAAGATGCTGACTTCGACTGCTGTGCGCTACCTGAAGCGTAGAGTGGAGAGAAGTCCCCGTGTGACTGCTGAGGAACTGAGAAAAGATTTGTCAGATGTGGGTACAGAAGTTTCAGCCCAGACAATAAGACGCACACTGCGTAATGAAGGCCTCCGTGCCAGAACTCCCAGGCGTACCCCCCTTGCTGTCTCCAAAGAATAAGAAGAGTCGACTGCAGTATGCCAAAAGCCATGTGGACAAACCACAAAAGTTGTGGGATAGTGTTCTGTGGACTGATGAAACAAAATTAGAACTGTTTGGGCCCATGGATCAACGCTATGTTTGGAGGAGGAAGAACAAGGCCTATGATGAAAAGAACACCTTGCCTACTGTGAAGCATGGTGGAGGGTCAATCATGCTTTGGGGCTGTTTTGCTTCTGCAGGTACAGGGAAGCTTCAGCGTGTGCAAGGTACCATGAATTCTTCAGTACCAGGAGATATTGGATGGAAACGTGATGCAGTCCGTCACACACCTGAGGCTTGGGAGACGTTGGACCTTTCAACAGGACAATGATCCCAAGCATACCTCCAAGTCCACTAGAGCATGGTTGCAGAGGAAAGGCTGGAACATTTTTGGAGTGGCCATCGCAGTCACCAGACTTAAATCCGATTGAGAACCTCTGGTGGGACTTAAAGAAAGCAGTTGCAGTGCGCAAGCCTAAGAATGTGACTGAACTGGAGGCCTTTGCCCATGAAGAATGGGCGAAGAACCCGTAGATCGCTGCAAGACACTTGTGTCAAGCTATGCTTCACGTTTAAAAGCTGTTATAACTGTAAAAGGATGCTGTACTAAGTACTAAAATTGAATGTCACTTGGGGGTTGAATAAAACTGATAATGCTGTGAGCACAGAAAAAGACATTTGTGGTTATTTCATTATAACTGTTAAATTTGTCTGACCTACAAGTGCCTCTTTAATGTAAATGTAAGCAAGATGACTGAATGATCAAAAGCAATGTCAAACTGGCCAAAACACTCAATTTCAGTGGGTTGAATAATTTTGGTCACAACTGTAACTATCCAGCTAGCTAGATTTATACAGTTAGGGCCCATCTACATCAACACGCACACAACGCATGCCCCTGCCATGCATTGTGCACATGTGCTACAAAGCATTGTAAAATACATCACAGAGTTTACTTTTTTCAAACCTAATTTAACTTGACAATGTCCTAACTCTATGAGCTGCGTAAAAATGCAACCTGCCCTACTCTGCAGGCAATGCAGCATGTTGGTGTGAGCTGAAATAAAAGGATATAAAGGCAAATTGCCTTGTCTGTGCATTGGGACTACAGTTGACAAAGATGTTTAAAGCGGTTCATCAGTCATTCTGCAAAGAATTAAAAATTAGCAGCTACAAAAACTATAACTGCTGACTTTTAATAAACAGACACTCACCTGTCCAGGGATCCAGCGCTGTCCTCACCTGGGCTGGTTTCTTCACCAGACTTTGGTCCCCGCCACCAGCATGTTAACTGTGGGCAGCTGGTAGTGACTACTTGCGACTTCTCAGCTGGCTGCCTACTGCACATTCGCAAGCCATGGTGCACTTTGTGAATGGTCCTGCAGCCTTCTGGGACCTGTGACATGTCCCAGAAGGATGCAGTCAGGGGGAAGAAGAAGGGGGAGAATAAATTCTGCTTGGATTGTCTAGGTGATCCCAGTGGAAGTGGGAGTAGGTACCTTGTCAAAATCAAATACCCACTCCACCCCCCAAAAAATATGTACCAAATATGTCTGGGGTGGGGGAGTTGGAAGAGTGGAACTTCCCCTTTTGGGAGGTTTTCTGCTTTAACGTTGCAATCGCAACTTAAAGCAGTATCAAAATGCCTGCTGGATATAGTTGAAAAGGATCAAGTAAAATGTTCGTTACATGTATGTGAGTTAACCTTCGGAACCTCCTGTAATAACAATGTTTCCTTGACATTAACAGTCTCCAGACTAATTTGCATTGTTGCCTGGTGGTGTTCTTTGAACCTAACGTTTATAACAGTGAAGCAACAAAGACGGATTAGTATCATGCAAGTTTAACTTGGTGTTACCATAGACGTCAGAACTCTCTGCAATAACTGATAAGTTCCCTCTTATATTCTCTTTTAGCACATCTGCAGAGTAGACAGGAATATCTGAAAAGTATTTTTAAAGCAAAGAAGAGTTCTGTCTTCACAGAAAATAACCTTACTTACCTGATTTGAAAAACCTTTGACTACTTGTCGTTGTTTAAGATTTGTCTCCCCATCTAGGTTAGCAGTTTCGATGTGGCAGATCCCATTCTGATCGGAGGAATAGAGAAGCAGTATGTCCGCTGGGATGATCTCATTACAGAACAGCTTGACAAAGTCTCCAACACGTACATCCTTCCAACACTTATCAACAAAGCTTCTATCAGCTCTAAATAACAGAGAAAATATTTGGAGTTAAGACAATAGATCTTTTTTATAATATACACTGGTAAATAAAATAAATGTAGGATTAAAGAGAACACTATGAACTGCTTCCTCTAAAACCAAAAAAAAAAAAAAAATACTTTTATCAATACTAAATATGATTTCCATTTAAGGAAACCTATACTGAAAGAAACCTGGAGGCTGGTAAAGACCTGAAAAACAATAAAATTGTGCCTGTGTCGAAATATATATGGACCCAAGTATGTATATATATATATATATTTATTTATTTTTGTATATGTGTAGGTAAAAAATATACATAAGGATCACAGACAACTAAAGATAATTTAAAGACATCCACAATTCAGTTACTTTTTTTTTTTTTTTTTAATTAAAAGCAGAAACAGGGAAACATTACTTTTTTGCCAGAATGGTCTCTTATGTTGATCTGTTGGCTTAAATTCCAGGTACCTTTAAATGATGAACACATTGGGGTTGATTTACTAACACTAGGGAGGGCAAAACCTGGTGCAGCTGTGTATGGCAGCCAATCAGCTTCTAATTTCAGCTATTTCAATTAAGCTTTGACAAAAAAAACTGGAAGCTGATTGGTTTCTATGCAGAGCTGCACCAGATTTTGCACTTTCCAGATTTAGTAAAGCAATCCCATTATATCTTCATAATTTCACCCACTAATACTCAAATAAATAGTTAATTATAATTCAAAATTATCTCCAATCAACATTTATTTAGACAAGCTGACTTAAGGATGTTAGATTAAAGCACTTTCAAAGTTAAACTCTAACCAAAACTCCAGAGTGGGGAAGGATGAGAACCACTTCCAGGTTTTTATTGCTGTGTTCCCTCATTGCCTATGTGGTCACTGGGAAAGAAGTGCGCAAACTTTCTCATGAGCAAAATATTACATAGGTTCTAACAATTTTGCACTCTTGCTGAAGCTCTATTTTTATTCTACTACAACTGTTGGTCGAACTTGCTTCTATACAATGATAGGAGTGGCATAAACAGCAGCAGTGTAGAAAATGAATTACATTTAATTTAATTCTATAATTAGTTTTACTACTGTTATGTGGGAATTTCCCACATTGACATTTCCTGTTCACATTTGTTCTTAACTGCTATAGGAGTGTTTATATTAGCAAACAAGAAAGAATTTTGTAAAATATGAACTATAAAAAGGATATAAAAATACACATCAGTCATTTTTGTTATCAGTCCCTGGCATTTTTTGCCAGTAAATCATAATGTGCCAGTCACTTTACAAGCTATCTGAGTTTATGATGTAAAACCGGTTTAACTGGCATTTCAAGTTTTCCAGCTCTGAACATAACATCTACTATTAAATACCCCTTTGAATTCTCAATGACCATAACAAGACTAGGACAAGAAATGTTCTCCATTATGATACTGCTCTGTATAACCCCATTTTCCCCATTCAGCTTTAATTCCCTCATTCCTATTCAAATATACATACAGTACCTTTCCTTCACTAACCTTTGTTGAGCACTGGGAGTCAAAGAATACCCAGTACTTCTGAGTATGAAGGAAGTGT